TTCTCTCTTCACATGCTTTTTAAACAACCTTTTGGTTTGTGGGTATCCTTTCTAGTAAACCGGTCTGATTGATTTTGTGTCAAAACGGAACTAGACTTAGGATCAAACATGTTTTGCTGACTTGATTACCCTTGGTGGTCAGATTTGCTATGCTCTCAAGTCAGATTCATACATTATGACAGGAATTGCTATCCCATTTCCGGTTTAGGCAATTTTGGTTCGGCATTTGGTTTAATAATCTCATTTTACAACCTGGTCATTTGCTTAGCCAGAACCCAGAAACAATCGTGATCTATATGCAATTAGAATATAGCTCACTTTGCACCTACGTCAAATGAATTTGCTATACAATTTTAAATTTTGTTTTTCAAGTTCAGAAAAAAAATGAATCCATCAAACAACTAAAATATTAATTTTTTTGGTAGTTTTGTAATATTTTTAAGATCATTTTTAAGAGGAGGAGGCGATTCTATCTTAATTGAGAGAAATAAAAGGAAGAAGCCTATCAACATTTCTAATTAGCTACAGCAGAAGCCATGGCTAAAGTGTACTTATGCTTGAGGTAAGCTTTGATGAAAGGGTCTAAGTCACCATCCATTACAGATGTGATATCAGAAGTTTCATGGCTTGTTCGGACATCCTTAACCAGTTTGTACGGATGAAACACGTAGTTCCTGATCTGCTGTCCCCATTCGGCTTTCACTACATCTCCTCTAATTTCCTTGATCTCAGTCGCACGTTGCTCCTCCGCAATCACCAACAGTTTCGCCTTTAGTCTGCTCAGACCTCTCGTCTTGTTCGCCGATTGACTTCTCTCCTCTGCAATATCAAACATTCAGATGGATCATGCGGGTGGGTTCTTCACTGCAGGTTGTTTTCTAGACCAACTTATAAGAGTTTGTGGAGATGGAAAGACAAACCTGAGCAACGGACCGCAACACCAGTAGGGATGTGAGTAATCCGAACTGCAGTTTCAACCTTGTTTACATTCTGTCCTCCTTTCCCACCTGCCCTCGTGAAAGTAATCTCAAGGTCTTCCTCTGGTATTTCAACTCCCACTGCTTCATCAGGCAGAAGCGGCATCACTTCCACACCAGAAAAGCTTGTCTGCGTGCAGTATCAATATTATTGTACATACCCCTTTCGAGTTCATAGACCTTAACAGTGAGTGTAGACGCCACTTCCCTCGAGGCTTAATATTCATCAAACTTATAGATGCAAGTAGATGGAATTTCATGAAGCGTTGCATGTTAAAACTTTTAGTACGCAATTTACCTGGCGAAGGCCTTTGGAATTGAATGGTGATTGTCGTACAATCCTATGAGTTCCTTTCTCCCCTGAAAGGTAACCATACGCATAACGCCCTTCGATTTCAAGCGTCGCTGACTTAATCCCTGCTTCCTCTCCGGCAGACATTTCAACAATCTTTGTCTTGTACCGTTGCTTCTCTCCCCATCTCATATACATCCTAAGCAGCATATCAGCCCAATCCTGCACTGGAAATTAT